TTTTTTTTTGGTACTGAGGTTTGAACTTGGGACCTTGCACTTGTGAGGCAGGCAGCAGAACCACTGTCTTAGCAGTATTTTTGATCTTCAGTAATTAGTGTGGTACAGTGTGGTTACGTAAATTGGCCTGAAAATTTATAGCCGGTTGTACTATAAATTATATGAGATTACTGGGTGTGGTGGCACACGCCTTTAATCCTAGCATTCAGGAGGCTGAGGCAGGAGGATCACTGTGAGTTCTGGGGTACATAGTGCCAGGGCAGCCTGAACTACATAGTGAGACCCTGTCTGAAACTGCACCTCCCCAAAGTTATATCCAACAGCAGTTTAAAAAAATTGATTTTGTTTTATTTTTTGCAGTATTGGCTGTTGATTCCAAGACCTTTGCAATGAGCCATCTCCCCAGCCTTTATTTTTTAATTTTGAGGCAGGGTCTCACTGAGTTTTCCAATCTGGGCTGCAACTTGTGATCTTCCTGCATCTGTCTCCTGTCGTCCTGGGGTTACAGGCCTATGCCACCATGCCAGCTTGTTTTGGATACCATTTATAATAAATACTATGCATCAAACTGAATGCCACTTTATAATTGCAAAGAAGTTGCAGCTGGGGCGGGGGTTTTAGCTCAGGGTTCCTTAGCTCAGGGTTCCAGCGCCTGCCTCGAAAACGCAAGGACCGGAGTTCAATCCCCGGTACCAAAAAAAAAAAAACAGTTGTTGCAGCTGTTTTGTTGGTATTCTAATTGGTTTTAAATATAATATATATATTCTTTTGTTTGTTTGTTTTGCTATGTTGCTCACACTGGCTTTGAACCTCTGGGCTTGAGTAATCCTTCTGCCTTAGCCTACCAGGTAGCTGTGGCCACAGCTATGAGCCAGTGATCCTGGCTCTATACAATCTTTTAAATTTTTTAAATTAAAAAAAGCACTTAATGGAAAGATGACTCCTTTTTGAATACTGAGGGCTACTGCAGCCCTTAATACTTATCTGTGTGGCTCTTGTAGGCTTGTAGGAAGCCAAATACCATATTACAACAGTAATAATCTTGAGAAGTGTAGGTAATGTATAATTGCCTGATTAGAAACACCTAGGAACTAAATAGGTTAAGTTATCAATTTTGCTTTTTTTTTTTAAAGCCTTATTTGTTTACTAATGCAGGTGGTAATTTAATTTTTTGGTATGCCTTTTAAATTTTATTTGTGCTTTATAGTGGATTTTGATCATTGTATTTTGGGTTTCTGCAGTTTTTACTTTTCCATTTAGTTTATTGGTACATTTTAGGTATACAGTACAGTTACATTCATCATTGGGATCTTGTACCTTTACATGATGTATCTTGGTTCTTATTTTTTCCCCATTCCCCTTCTCTCCCTTCACCCCCTCCACCCTTCCCTATTTACAAAGACTTTGTTTCCATGTTTTTTCTTTTCTCATATTTTTTCTTTTCTCTTCTTTCCTTTCCCCTTCCCCTCCCACTTCACCTGTTCCTTTAAACATTTTCTCCCTATTTCACAATATCAATTATACATTTGAATTCTTCTTTATACTTTTAGTTTTTTACACCAGAGAAACTATTTGGTATTTACACATGTGTCCTATTTATTTCACTTAAGAGTATGGCCTCTATGTGCATCCACTTAGCTATAAATATCTCTAGTTTTTCATTCTTTATGGCTAAGTAGTACTCCATTTTATAAAACAACCCACATCTTCTTTATCCAGTCTCCTGTTGATGGGCAATTAGGCTGTTTCCAAGATTTACCTATTAGAAACTGTGCTGCTATAAAAATGGGTGCGCATATATCACTGTAGTATGATTCTTTTAATTCTTTTAATAATTTGGAGAAGATACCCAGCAGGGGAATAGCTGGGTCAAATGGGACTTCCAATCCTAATTCTTTGAGGTATCTCCATACTGATTTCCACAGTGGTTGCACCAGTCTGCACTCCTACCACCAATGAAGAAGGATTCCTTTCTCCCCACAGCCCCACCAGCATTTGTTATTGGTTGATTTCATGATAGCAGCCATTCATTCTGGGGTTAGGTGGAATCTCAGCATTGTTTTCATCTGCATCTCTCAAACAACCAGTGATGTTGAACATTTTTTCATATGTTTATTTGCTGCTTTTACTTCTTTGAGAAATGTCTGTTCATTTCAGATGCCCAGTTTTGAATTGGGTCTTTATATTTGGGGGGGTCTGATTTTTTTGAGCTCTTTATATATTCTGGATAGTAGACCTTTGTCTGAGGAACAGCTGGTAAAATTTTTTTCCCACATTGTAGGTTGTCTCTTAGCTCTGTTGGTGGTTTCGCTTGCAGTGCAGAACCTTTTTAATAAGATGAGATCACAGTTGTTGATTCTTACTGCTCCTTCCCATGCTACTGAGGATTTGTTCATAAAGTTCTTTCCTATGCCAGTGTCTTCAAGAGTTCTACCTAGCTTGTCTTCCAGCAAGTTTAGTGTTTCTGTTTTAGTGTGTTTATTTAGATCTTTAATCCACTTCAATTTTTGTTTAGTCTGCAGTTTTTTTATAGTTTAAAAACTTTTTAAACCAAAGCAGTCAGATTCTAGATAAACATTCTTTGGGAGAAATAATGTTCTAAAGTGTGCTATTTACCAAGATTTGGGGTCAGTGAAGTTGGAGAGGCATAGAATTGGCTTCACTTTGTTTTGAGCCAGTAATAATGGAGATGTAAAATATTTTATTCAAACATTTCTGTTTATTATGCAGGCTTACAGTGGATCACCTCTAACCGAAGAAAAGGAGAAAATTGTTTGGGTCAGATTTGAAAATGCAGATTTAAATGGTATGCTTTTAACATTTTGAACATGTGAAATAAATGTTATTTTTAATTTTCAAAATAAATTCATTTTTCATGAAAAGGTAATGTAACAGAAATTTCTTTAGAATTAATACTGTACGGGTTTGAAAGTAAGTATAATAGTGTGTAGTCTTAAACTTTAAGCTCTAGTGAGTTAAAATTTTATCCCCCCCCCCCCCTTTTCGTGTAGCACTGGGGATTGAACTCAGGGCTTTCACACTAAGCTGTGTCTCTAGGCCTTTTATGTATTTATGTATTTTAAAATTTTGAGACAGTCTTGCTAAATTGTTAGGTTGCCCAGGCTGTGCTGGAACTTGAGATCCTCTTGCCTCAGCCTCCCACAGTGCTGGGATTACAGGTGTGTTCCACTTTGCTGGGCTACAACAATTTAAAGATTTTATTTGGCTTTATTTTGAATACTAATGTAAGATAATACTTCATTCCATAAAGTAGGACAAATACTCCTATGAGCTTAGCAGAGGAGCTTGACTTTATAGGCAAAAAAAGACCTAAAGAAAGAACAAGCAACAACAAAAAAATTGATTGTTTTAAAATTACTTTCCTTGTTAAGTGGGAATAGGGAAACAGAGTAATAGAAAAACAATTGAGGGCAGGGAATTTAGCTCAGTGGTGCCAGTGGCTGCCTCGAAAATGCAAGGTCCTGAGTTTAATCCTTGGTACCAAAAAAAAAGAAAGAAAAGCAATTGAGCCAGGAAGCTGAGCCAGGAGTATTGCTGCAAGTTCAAGGCCAGCCTGGATTACATAAATTCAAGTCTTTGAGAGTCTGTCTCAAAAAAAAAAAGGAAAAGAAAAGAAAAAGAAGAACAGTTGATTGGAGTTACAATTGGTTAACATTAGGTTACGTTAGGTTACATTTTTGTTGATAAGAATTAAATCAGGAGAACTTTATTAAGATGTCCATTGGAAACTGGCCTGTTTGGGAAATTTGTCTGTCACTTCCCCTGCTTTCTGAGAAGATCAGATGACAATTTTGTTTCGGTATTGTGAAACTTTTTACGAGTGATACCACTTTGGTTTATAGTCTGATATGTTGGGGTGTAGTGTAGGACCTTAGTCCAAAATAATGACTGCCTGTAATTTTTATTTAGTGATAACTATCTAATGGTTGCTCTTAATTTACTTTATAAAATTTCCTTCCTGGGAATACATGTTTGATGCTTGATTTGTGGAGGATTTTCTTTTTCTTTTTTTTTTTTTTTGTGGTGCTGGGGATTGAACCCAAGGCCTTTGTGCTTAGCTATATCCCCAGGCCTTTTTTTTTTTTTGGTACCGGAGATTGAACTCAGGACCTTGCAGTTATGAGGCAGGAGGCGGAATCACTGAGCTAAATCCCCAGCCCCTTTTTTTGTTTTTTTAAAAATTTTGCTAAATTGCCCAATAAATAAATAAATGTGTTCTGGATAAACCAACACATAAAGATGGTGAAAATGATTTTGAAAAGCATGGATCAGAAGTTAAAAATAAACTATGCCAGGTGTGGTCATGCCTACGTGTGCTCCTAGCACTTGTGAGACTGAGGCAGAGGGATCCCAAGTTAATACCTGCTTGGGAAGTTTAGTGAGAGCCCATCTCAAAAACAGAATGGAAGGGCCGGGGATATAGCCCAGTGCAGAGGCCCTGCATCCAATCCCTAGTACTGCATAAACAAAGAACAAATTGTCTTTTTTTTTTTATTAGTACATGTTTGCAGTACATAACGATTGGATTCATTGTGAGGAGATGGTACATGCACATAATATATCTTAATTCTTTTTTAAAAATCTCCTCCCAAAAGATAATTTCAGAAGTGCAAAATGTGGCTAGGGCTGTAGCTTAGTGATAGAGTGCTTGGTTCCCATGCATGAGGCCATGAATTCAATTCCTAGCACCAAAATAATTAAAATGAACAGAGCACTTTGACTGTGTATGGAGTTTGGCATGAGGAGTGGATGCAGGAGCCATTCAGGCTTTTGGAGTTGATGTGGCTGGCATGGGGTGGTGGTGTAAGACCTGCGAAGAAAGCTGTTCATGAAGACAGAGATTGGTAATGATGCACTGTCCTGGTGGAGGAGGAACATGTTCCCTGGCACTGTGGATGGCATAGATAATGATGCAGCTCACAAAATAAGGAACTCTGCAGGAGCATCCAGTTTAAGGAGGAAATCATGTTGGAGTGGAATTTGAGCTCGTGAGCCATTTAAAACCTGTGTTGAAGAAGTCACCAGCAGACCCTAAAGTAATGGGTGGGAGGAGATATATGGTGATGAGAAGAGAGTTTACCAATTAGTTGTGAATAACTCCAGCATCAGGAGCGGAGGGTATAGCTCAGTGGTAGAGCGCTTGCCTGGCATGCATAAAGCCCTGAGTTCAGATCTGCCACACTGCAAAGCAACAACATTTTGAAGCTAGGTAGGAAAGAAAGGAGCTAGCAGAGAAAATGAGGGGAGGAGTGACTAGAGAGATCGGATAACAGGAGGGGCTTAGCCCTGGAAAATCAAGGGAAAGCATTTTAAGGAAGGAATGGTGTGCTTCGGTTGTAGCTGCTAAGTAATCTAATAAGATGTGCTTGAAAAATATCAGTTGGGTTTGATAACTTGGAGATTATTGGTGACCAGAGTAAAAGTCACTTGGGAGGAGGGCTGCAAGTAGAAACCATTATAAAATGGCTTTGAGGTGAATGTGAGATGAAAAATGACACGACAGTACAAACCACTCAAGAAACTTGGCTGCTGGAAAGAGAGAAGAGGAGGAGGAGGATATGGACTGTTTTGATTTATCAAGTTTAAAAACATGTATTGTGCAAGAATATATGGTAAATTACGGGTTGGGGATTTAGCTCAGTGGTTCCGCCACCTGCCCCGTGAGAGCAAGGACCCAAGTTCGATCCCCAGTGCCAAAAAAAAAAAAAAAAAAAAAAAAAGAATATATGGTAAATTACATAAAACGAAAGTATAGATCAGCGAATGAGGTTTTATAAATCAGATGCCTATATAATTATCACCTAAAAAATAGAAGATTGCTACCTAGTTGCTTCTGAATTTTATGTAAGTAGACTTACTCAGTATGGCTGGGCATGGTGGTGCAAGCCTGGAATCCCTCTGTTTGGGAGACTGGAAGGATTGTGAGTTTGAGGCCAGCCTGGTTGACAGTGAGATCCTGTCTAAAAATAAAAAGATTTAATATAGTAGTTTTTTGTGTCTGGCTTTTTATTATGTCTGTCAAATTCATTTGTGTTATAATGTATAGTAGTAATTCACTTTTTCTGTGTTGAATAGTGTTTCATTGTGTCAGTGTACCATATTGTTTGGCCATTCTCCTGTTGGTGGACATTTGGGTTATTTGTATCTTTGGCTGTTCACAGATAATTCCGCTATAAATATTTTTGTGCCTATCTCTTGGTGTATATGTGCCCAGATTTCTAATGAGTGTATACCTGGAGTGGAACTATTTGGTCAAAATGTATGTGCATCTTTAACCAGAATACATATTACTAAACCTTTTTTTTTCTGTTTGGTTTTTGGATTTTTGAGACAGAATCTCCTCATATATTCCAAGCATGCATTCCAGGCTGGCTTTGAATTTGAGATCCTCCTGCCTTAGCCTGCAGCGCAAGGACTGTAGTCTTGTGCCACCACACCTGGCCCTAAATTGTTTTCTAAAGTGCTCCTGTTGATTTACATTCAGCAGTGAATAAGCTGCTGCTGCTGCTCTTCTTCCTTCTCCTCTTCCTCCTCCTTCCTTTTGTTTTTGCCACTGAGGATTGAACCCCTGGTCTTCACACTGAGCTGCATCCCCAGCCCTTTTTATTTTTTAGTTTGAGACAAGGTCTAAGTCACTGAGTTGCCCAGGCTGGTCTTGAATTTTCTGTCCTCCTGACTCAGCTTTCCATAGTGCTGAGTAGTTACAAGCATGTACTACCATGCTCAGCTGAATAAACAGCTTCTGAGGCACATGTGTCAGTGGTTTTAATTAGCACTTCTTTGATTACAAGTGATGTTAAGGTGTGTTTCCTGTTTATCCTTTGACTATCTTTCTTAATGAAGGTCTTCTATGTGTGTCTTCCCTATTTTTCTAATAACTTGATGTCTTTCTCATATTGATATTTGTTTATTTAGTGGTACCAGGCCTCATATATGCTTGGCAAGAGCACTAGCACTGAGCTACATCTCAAGCCTCTGTTGTGGGAGTGATGAGCTACATCCCCTGCCCTTTTTATTTTGAGATAGTGTCCTACTAAATTGCCCAGGCTGGCCTTGAATTTGGAATTACAGGCATGGCCTACCATGTCTTAACTGTGGGATTTTTTTCCCCTCCCTGGTGGTACTAGGGATTGAACCCGAGGGTCTTTGAACTAAAGTACATCCCCAGCCCTTTTAAAAATATTTTATTTTGAGATAGCTTCTCATTAAGTCGCTAAATTGCCCAGGCTAGGCTTGAATTTATGATCTTCCTGCCTCAGCCTCCCAAGTAGATGGGACTATAGACATGTACCATCATGCCTGGCAGCACAGTTGTTTTCTTGATTGATGCTGTGTTTTACATTTTTCTCTTTGTTATTTAATTCTAACATAGATACATCAAGAAATCTGGAATTTCATGAAATACATAGCACTGGGAATGAACCACCATTGTTGGTTATGATTGGCTACAGTGATGGAATGCAGGTCTGGAGCATCCCTGTAAGTATAAATGTGATCGAACCCCCAAAATACTTCCAGCATGGCAGCTTGTGTGAAGCCTGGAGATGCTTCCACACGGCTGTGGTCCCGTCTACTCATTTTACCAGCAGTTCCTAAGAGACTGCTATTGTACAACACAGTGCAAGGCACGGGGAAGGAGCGGCAAGTGACAAAGCAAAGGTACTCTCACTGGGTAGAAAGTGGGTCAGAAATTGTGCAGATCACATACCCCTGAGGAACTGGCCCCTTGCTCCTTGATCTTCGGTTCTTTGTGCCTTGATGAAAGATTTCAAGCCAGACATTTATGGTAGGTGCCCATGCAGAACTATAGGTAGACTTCATTGTAAAGCAGATGAAGAGTTATGCCTTCAAGTGAGAAGATGGGCAGTGAGTTTGGATACCTTTTTTGTTTACAAGAGTGACTCCTGGGCCGCCAGGAGTGGTGGCACATGCCTGTAGTCAGCACTTGGGAGGCTGAGGCAGAAGGATTGCCTTGTGTTCAAGGCCAACCTAGTCTACATAGTGAGACCCTGTCTTAAAAAACAAAAAAAAAAGAAGCGTTATTCCTGGGGTTAAGAGAACTATGGTCATTTTGATGCTTACAGATATTTTTCTTAGAGGTCATTTTGGAATGTTAATGTCTCAAAAATATCTTTCTTGTTTTTTTCAGATGGTCAGGGTTCTGTCAGGGGCTTTATTCTTTATTTTTTTTCTTTATTTGTTTGGAAGCCTTAATCTTTTTTTTTTTTTTTTAATTTTTTTGGGACAAGGTTTCCCTGTGTACTTCTGGCTGGCCTTGGACTCACTGTGTAGCCCACTCTGGCCTTAAATTTGCCTCAACCTCTTGAGTGTGAGGATTACAGGCATGTGCCACCATGCCCGGCCTGGGGGCCTTAAAATTTAGGAAGGAAGTTTACAGAATAAAAAGTGCTAATCTAAATCAAATCTTAGCCCAAGGAGGGAGAATCTTTAAATAATGTTCCCTTTTCTGATACCAGTGGGCATCAGCTCTGGCACACAGGGATTGGAAGGCGCACAATACCCTTGTGCTCTGTGACGTCACTTTGGGTCTGAGGCCTAACAAGTGATTATAAATGTGTTACATGCCGAGGTCTCTGTTTTCTCCTTAACTCTGCTATTTTGGATTCTCCTTTGTTCCTCAGGCTTGCTATTGGCTAACTGCCTGCCTGCCAATATCTCCTAAGTAATGATTGTTTTTTTCCCCAGTTTATAGAAGAGCAAAGTGAGGCATATGGAAAGTTTTTGTTTTATTATGATTTTTGAGACAAGGTCTCAGTATGTGATATAGCCCAGGCTGATTTAGAATTTGTAATCCTCCTGGTTAGTACCACTATGCCTTGTTTACCATTATGCTTGCTTAGAGGTTTTTCTTTTTACATTAACAACCATTAACATAATACAGTATTGATTTTTATTTTTTTGAGACAGGGTCTCACTACATAGTTCAAGTTGTCCTTGAACTCACTATGTAGCCCAGGCTGGCCTCAAATTTAAGCAATCCTTCTGCCTTAGCCTCCTGAGTGTTGCAGGTACAGGAGTGCGCCACTGCACCTAGCATGATTTTAAATCAGTTAAAAAAGTTCTCATGATACAAAGTTAAGAGGTACAGAAAAGTAAAGAAACTCCCTTCCACCCTTGTTCTTCACTTGCCCTGTCTTGAGGCAAGCAAGATTTCTAGGTTATGTATTTTTAGAGCCATATTTTATGTAAATAAAAACATGTAAAAATATATTTCTTTCATCCTTGTTCTAAACCTTGCTGTTTTTACATTATAATGTCATAATTCAGAGAAGTGCTTCATTGACTTTTTTCCCCCTTTTTCCCTGGTACTGGGATTTGAACTCAGGGCATTCATGTTACATTCATGTTACATCCCTGACTTTACCCCCACCTCCCCCTTTTCTGGTAAATGTTTGAGTTGGGTTCTTAATAAGTTATCTAGACTGGCCTTGAATTTGTGATTCTTCTGCTTCAGTCTCCTAGAGTGCTGAAATTACAGTTACGTGCCATCACATCCTGCTTCATTGACTTTTTTTTGGTACCTGGGATCGAACTCAGGTCCTCACGCTTTGGAGGCAGGTGGTGGAAACACTGAACTAAATCCCCGGCTCCTTCATTGACTTCTATAGCTGTGTAATCATTGGATTTATCTGGTGACTAGTTCTCTATTGCTGAAAACACTTTGTTTTTAAAATTATTTATTATTTATTTGTGGGGTACTGGGGGTTGAACCCATGGTTGCTCTACCTCCAAATTAAATCCTCAGCCCTTTCTTTTGCCTTTCCTTGGGGTTTTTCAAGGCTCTGCAGTGCTATCTGTTATTGAAGTATGGTCACAGGCAGAGACAGGATTTAAGATCTCGCTGTGGTTTTTTTATTAACCTACAAAGATAAATGTTCTTTTTTGAGGTTGGGATTAGAGGAAAAGATTTTGTAAATGTAAAATTTTCATTTTCTTTTTCTGGAGGAAAGAGGTTGAGACAGTGTCTTGCTTTGTAGCTCAGGCTGGCCTTGAACTCACTGAGTAGTCCAAGCTGGCCTTGAATTCAGTGGTGTTCCTCCTGCCTCAACCTTTTGAGTGTGGGGGTTCATTTTCTTTCATTTTTTAGGGAGAGCAGGGTCTTGTTCTAATTTTCTTCTAGAGACAGTGATTTGCTTCATCTGTTGTTTGCTGGCAGAATTGAAGGCAAAGAGGAAGCTATAGCTTTAACAAGAAGGTTGCACCATGGGACTGGGGCGTTTACTGGATTGAGCACATTCCTTTGGTGGCACTCAGGAGGCTTTAACTGCCCACTTGTTCTGGTTATAAGTAGAGGTATTACTATTAATAGTTTTAGAGTTATATTGAATTTATCTCTGAGTAATTTAAAGGCCTTTATTTCACCTTGCACCTTGATGGTATTATTTATTTAGAGACGGTCTCACTATGTAGCCCAGGCTGGTCTTGAACCTGCAGTCTTCCTGCCTCGGCTTCCTGTGTAGCTGGGGTTTCAGGCATGGGTCCCCTATGCCCGGTGGTATACAACTGTTAGGTGTAAATTTTCTGACTTTTGATAAGTACGCATACCTGGATAACCCAGTCGCTGAGGAGACATTGGACTTGAGCGTCACTCAGAAGAACTTTCCCAGTTAATTTTGCTTCCGCCTTGTCCAGAAGCACCCACTGTCCCCATGGGTGTTTCTGCCATTGCAGAGGAGTTTCACCCATTCTAGAAATTGCTACATCTTCGTATACAGTGTGTTCTCTTGTTTTGCAAGGCTTTTCTGCTCAGCGTAATGTTTCTGAGAATCATCCATGATGCTCGTTCTTTTAATTGCTATAGTTCTTCAGTGTATGAGTATGTTTCTCTTACTGATTTCTGTCCTTTGGCTACTATGAATATAACTTCGGTGTGGAAGTCTTTTTGTAAATGTATGCATTACTTCCTTTTAGATAAATATCTATAAGTGGAATTGGTGATTTATGGGGTTGGAATGCAGTTAGTCTTTTTAAAAAAATTAATTTTGGGGGCTGGGGATTTAGCTCAGTGTTCCGTAGCCTGCCTTGCAAGTGCAAGGTCCTGAGTTTGATCCCCGGTACCAAAAAAAAAATTAATTGTTTATTGGTACATTTTAGATACATATGATGATCACATTCATCATATAGAATTTGTACCTGTACATGGTATATCTTGATTCTTTTTTCTTTTCCCATTCTCCTCCACTGCCTTCAACCCCTCTTCCCCTCCTTATTTTCAAAGCTTTGTTTCTATTTTTCCTTATCCTCTTGTTTTTTTCTTTCCCCTTCCTTCCACTCCCCCTACCTCTTCCCCAGTTCCCGTTCCTACTTGTGCATTTTTTTCCAATTTCACAATATCTATTATACATTTTGGTCCTTATTTACACTTTAAGTTTCTCACACCAGAGAAACAATGTGATATTTAAACATGTGTGTTCAATTTATTTTGCTTAAGAATATGGTCTCAAGGTGCACCCATTTACCTAGAAATGTCTCAAGTTTATCCTTCTTTATGGCTGAGTAGTACTCCACTGCATTAAAAAAGCCCACTTCTTTATCATGCATCGGTTGATGGGCATTTGGGCTATTTCCAAGATTTAGGTATTATAAACTGTGCCTTCATAAACATGGGTGTGCATATATCACCGTGGTATGATGCTTTTTTTTTTTGGTACTGGGGATCAAACTCGGGACCTTGTGCTTGGGAGGCAGGCAGTGGAACCACTGAGCTAAATCCCCGGTCCCTGGTATGATGCTTTTAATTCTTTTGGGAAGATACCAAGAAGGGGAATAACTGGCTTAAATGGAACCTCTAGTTTTAGTTTTTTGAGGAATCTCCACACTGATTTCTACAATGATTGCAGTGGTCTGCACTCCTGCCAACAGGGGAGAAAATTCATTCGATAGTTGGATACAAAGTCAACACTAAAAAATCAATAGCATTCCTGTACACGAATAACTAACTGAGAGAGAAATTAGGGAAACCACACATTTCACAATGGTATCAAAATATGAAATACTTAGGAATCGATCTAACAAGGGAAGTAAAAGACCTTTACATTGACAACTACAGTACTCTTGAAAATGGAGATCAAAGAGGATATCAGAAAATGAAAAGATATCACTTGCTCTTGGGTAGGAAGAATCAACATAGTGAAAATGGCCATACTTTGAAAATTGTTACACAAATTTAATGCAATCCTGATCAAAATACCAATAGGATATCTCACAGAATTACAGAAAACAATCGTAAAATTCATTTGGAACCAGAAGAGACCTAGAATAGCAAAAACAATTCTGGGCAACAAAGGCAAGGCAGGCGGCATCATAAACCCTGACTTGAAATTATACTACAAAGCTACTATGATTAAAACAAATAAACAAAACCAGCATGGTACTGGCAAAAACACTGACTGGAGGATCAGTGCAACAGCTTAGAAGTTGCAGAAACAACTCCAGACACACTCAGCCACCTTGTCTTT